ATAGGAGAGTAAAGAGCAGGTTAATACTACTATAGAGTATAACGCTATCGATAATAGTAACGACGAGTCGCTACCTTCGTTTAGTAAGATATTTATACGTTTCTAGCTTATATAATTATAAAGATAGCTACTTACTCGATTATAGATTAAGGGAGAGCTAGAAATTAAGGGAGAGCTAGGAACCGAGGAAGTAGAGTAATAATATCCTACCTTAGGAGGTTTAAGCTATAAGCGGACGATCTCGAAGGTTTTATAATTATCTAAGAATACGAGTAAACTACCCGCAAATTATACGCGTAATCGGTCGAAGCGTCGTTAATCTAAAAGGTTGCGATAAGAATAAAGATAGTAGGTGCTTCGTAAGTTTAAAGAGAAGTTATTTTTAGTAGTTTCGTTCGTTCCTTTAATAGATATCTATATAGTATTACTTTAATAGTTATAAACGTATTATACGGGCGTATGTCCCCTTCTCGATCTATTTACTATATAAAGGGAGTGCCTAATATATAGTTATAGATATAAGCTTTAGATAACTTTACTTCTACGATTAATCTATCGATTAGGACTATATCTACATACTAGATAAAGAGGCTATATCGGAAGCGCCCGTATAATAACTAAAAATSACCGCTAACCTCTCGGAACGGTTATATTCCGAGGTAGCGTAAGTAGTGTACYTTAGTTCTACTAAAAAAAGATTGTTGCAGAGTTGTCGCTAAAAGCGCACCGTACTCGGCGCCAAATTGCCGAGCGCCAGCGTGCCGATACCGAGCATATCAAGTCGCCACGCTACGTTGTTCGCATGTAATAGATGGCATCTCTGTGTATGACAATGATCTGACAAACAGTGTTTTCGGCAGCAGGCAGAAGTAGACCACTGCTATGCGATGCTATGCTTCCTTATGCTATGGRACCAGCGAAGGTAATCAACACATAAGTTACGTATCCAATGCCATGCCCAAGTCGGAAGTATGGAGCCGCGAGTGGATACGATCTTTCTTGAGCATAGCCGCCAAGTGATTTGAATGAAAGAAACTGTTCGTCGGCTCGTCCAAAAACCGAGAGATCTGATCTTGTGAGCATCCCAGAGAGGTCTAGTTCACTTACGCCGAGCTTCCGGGTATGGTGCTTAGCCACTTCCTTCAGTCACTAGCGCGGAAATGCCACTGCAGGTGGGATCACTTGCAACAAACAGACTCCGCGTTCTCTGACGCGCATATATTGACTGTATCGCCGCTTGCTCCGGCTTTCTTTCCCGCCATTAACTTCGACACATCCGGCTCCGCATCTGCAAAACTTTCTCTCGCCAATAAGGGATATTCAAGAGCTAGATTCCTTCACGAACAAAACACATTCCATCTCCATTTCCATCAACATGAACGGCGTCCACGGAAGCTCCGAGGGCAACAGTGTCAATGGCAAGGCGCCTGCTTTGGACAACAACATCATCAAGGTTGAACCTCCACGCCGCGAGGACCTGCAACCATCCTACGCACAAGTCATCAAGCCCGACACAGAAGACATTTCACAGCATGGATGGTAAGTACGATAGGCCTAGTGCTAATTTGTCGCTAATCCTTCTGTCCTTCGCTTTTAGGTATGGCTCTATGATAAACGGACTCGGCTCATTAATCGGGAATCTTGGTGCGATTCCATGCTGCATAGTCTGCCCAAACGTGAGTACCATCTCAAAAGCTGCGGTGCATCWTGCGCATGCTGTGGTCTCTCGAGAGTTTGMCTGCGAGCCCCGCATTTCGCAGCGCATTTCGCCGCACGGACCACATACTAACAATATGACAGCCATACAAATCAGTAGCACAAGGAAGCGTCGGACTGGTCACCAAGTTCGGTCGTTTCGCTCGTGCAGTCGATCCTGGTCTCGTCAAGATCAACCCACTCTCCGAGAGCCTCATTCAGGTCGATGTCAAGATTCAGGTCGTTGAGGTCCCGCGACAGGTCTGTATGACCAAAGACAACGTCAACTTGACGTTGACGAGCGTGATATACTACCATATCATTAGGTGCGCATCCATATCCCACTATCCTTTTATCATGTCTGCATTCACTGACTYGTCCTTACTTCATCAGTCCACACAAGGTACGGGCCATCGTAGTGCTAGCACTTCCCCTTGTTGTACTGACACATTTTAGGCTGCCYTTGGGATCTCGGATCTTCGTCTTGCGCTCATCGAACGCACTCAGACCACACTGCGTCACGTCATTGGAGCCCGAGTCCTGCAGGATGTCATTGAACGCCGCGAGGAGATTGCCCAGAGCATTCGTGACATTATTGACGAGACGGCACGAGGCTGGGGTGTAGCTGTGGAGAGCATGCTTGTGAAGGACATTATCTTCAGCCAGGAACTTCAGGAAAGCTTGTCAATGGCTGCCCAGAGCAAGCGTACTGGTGAAGCCAAGGTCATCAGTGCTCGTGCTGAGGTTGAGAGCGCCAAATTGATGAGGCAGGCCGCCGACATCCTGTCCAGTCCTGCAGCTATGCAGATTCGATACCTCGAGGCTATGCAAGCAATGGCCAAGACTGCCAACAGTAAGGTCGTGTTCTTGCCTGCGCAGAACCAGGTAAGCATAGATGGGAGCACTGTGCTGTGATATCATTACTAACAAGTCGCAGACTGTTCAGAGTCAAATGGCAGTCGCCGAACAGCACGGCGAGGGTCCGTCGAGCTTTTCTCAGGACTATGGCACGATGACACGCAACCAAAGCGAGTTTTCCGGCCAGACCCAGGGCTTCCAGTCGGCTGTGAACAGCCGTGTAGTGGAGAACATGTAATGACGGTAGCAAGACGGAGGAACAAGAGCCGCAGTAGGCTTCGTGATGATAGGATGGTAATGAAACTGAAGTGTGATACCCAGCGATTTGCAGAATTATTGGATTGGTACTCTTGTTTAGTACTCTCGAAATTCGTTTCTCACGACTCTCCGACTTTCTTCCCACACGCCTCGAGTTTCGAGTGACCAATTATGATCCTTTTTTTTGAAAACTGATGTTTGTTTTTCAATACATATCAACGCCAATGTGGTCAAGCGAGAATTTTAGCTCCTCTACAGTACTTCTGCAATTCGATCACGCACGTTTTGGCCCAAAGATCAATCATTGGCAGCAGTCCAAGCCAAGAGGCTCGGCATCATGTTCACGCGTGTCTCACCAATCGGAATGCAAGCGCATGTCACCATTCAACAAAGGCGTTCAGCTCCGAGCTGAGCACACTTCACATCGCAAAATGAATCATTGTCCCATGGTATGTTCTACTTGTTCGCGCCACGGGAGAAAGACATCCCCAGGCCGTCGCGATGCCCTCTCTTCTCACCCGTCTAAGGACAGCCGCGAAGTCTGGCCGTAATGCTTTGCTCCCATCCGGCGATGCAATCTCTCATATCCCCATCTTGGACATGCTTGCGCATAACTGGCACCTAGGATTCACGTCGTTTGGAGGACCAGCCGTACATTTTCAGATCTTCCATCAATTGTTTGTAGAAAAGTACCAATGGCTCGACGAGACTTCTTACCAGGAAATGTTTGCTCTTTGCCAGGCACTCAGTGGACCGGCCAGTACGAAGATGCTCTATGGGATCAATGTTCTACATTATGGCTTCTGGATTGGAACCGCGGCTTTTTTTGTTTGGAGCCTCMCAATGGCACTCGCGGCGTTCGGGCTGGCGGTGGGGATTTCCAGCATTGGCGAGCAGCTACCAGCTCCAGTCTATGCTTTGCTCAGCGGACTTAATGCCGCCACTGTGGGAATCATTGCACTCGCTGCTATGCAGCTGAGCAAGAAGGCCATCACAGACACCCTAACTCGAACGCTGGTGTTCCTGGGTGCTGCAGCAGGCATGCTGTACAACAGCCTGTGGTACTTTCCCGTTTTGATGGTCGCGGGGGGAATATCGACAGTTGTGTGGGATCTTAAACTCTTGCGTAAGGTCTGGACTTTCCTCCGACCCAGCAAGAGCGCAGCCAGTAACATGGAGAACACCCCGAGTGAATCGATTGAGCTTGAGTCTCGCAAGCAGGACACCGAGGCGAACGACTCGGGACTGCACGCAAGATCCACCGACAAGAAGGACGCCACAGAGACTGCCCTCGGTGAAGATGAACTCCAAACTGAGCTACCCCGGCTCTCACCAAAAGGGGCGGGCTCTTGGAGGACCGGATTAATGGTTCTCGGTGCTTTTTTCGCATCTTTCATCATAGTCATGGCATGTCGCGGTGCTTTCAGTGGCCGGACTCGCGGATTTGATCTATTCGCAAACTTCTACCTTGCCGGTACTATAATCTTCGGTGGAGGTCCGGTGGTGATTCCACTATTGCGCGAGTACGTTGTAGAGCCAGGATGGGTATCCCCCAGGGATTTCATCCTAGGTCTAGCGATCACGCAAGCTTTTCCGGGGCCCAACTTCAACTTTGCGGTCTTTTTGGGTACTCTCGCCGTAAGTGGAACTCCTATACCACAGGTGGCTGGCGCTATCATTGGCTTTCTGGCAATCTTCGCTCCCGGCATATGGATGTACACTGGGATGATCGGAATCTGGGCAAGCGTGCGGAAAATACACGGGGTGAGGGCTTGCTTGAGAGGAATTCATGCCGTAGCAGTAGGCTTGGTTTTTGCAGCAGTGTATCGCATCTTTGAGATTGGCTATCTCGACGAGCAAACTCCCAATGGTGGAAGTCTTAGCCGAGATCCGTGGTGGGTGGTCATCGTTGCGACGAGCTTCGTGGGTGGCATGCATTACAAGCTTTCGCCGCCGCTGGCGGTCGCATTAGGCGCAGTCATGGGTTTGATTTGGTATGGAGTGAATCTTGGCTGAGATGAGATGTAGTGAGTGAAGCGGGAGCAATATCTTCATACCATCTCATAGTAGGCATGATCAGCACCCAGGAGCAAGTGCATGCTGCTCTCTTCGTAGAAATGCTGCCAAACGGTCCCCAGAGCCAGTCTTGAAAGTATTACGAGCGTCAAACGTGCTCTTGTGAGAAGCAAAAAAAAAAAAAAACTTTTGGTTTAAGGACTCTTTTCCAGCTGTCTTGGAAGTCGCAATTGCAATGAGTATGACCAAAACCCCAAAGAGAGAGGGAAGTACTTTTCCAGAATTGCTTACCTCTCAGATCGGGGCAGAGTCCAGCATTGATCTCGCTACCTCGATTTCTCGCATGACTCGCCTTGTTCAAGATAGTTGGGCAAAAGTGAGTGAAAATCGCCAGTTTCTCCGGAGCTCCGCAAGGGAGATGATCTTGACTTGCTCATTGAGCCAGAAGATGTCAGATTGCTGTGCTTGCTTGTGGCGGTTGAGATCCTAGTCTTCAATACAGCGAAAGTCTCCCATACAAGCAGAGACTGCATTGGTTCTTGTTACCAGGCTGAGAGAAGACTACTTCATACCGTCTGGTTTGATTCTCGGGGGAGCCGGAGACCTGGTCGCTTGTCGCGTGACCAATGTCTCTCAAGTAAGGCCATATAAGGAGCAGTGTGTGGAATCTCGAAGTCGTCGAATGATGGGTGAGACCCGAGATGGAGGTCGCTCATGATCCGGAATAAGAAGAGCTTTATCATTGCGTGAGCATCGAGAGAAAAGATAAATATGCGTTATCATTTGTACTTATACCTTATGTAAGGTAAGGTATGTCTAAATGTGATGTGGATAGGGGGCAAGGTAGGTAGTAGTGATCGCATTGTGTGGGGAGTGACGATCGGACCGGAGCCACTTCCGCGAGCTTCACTCCACGGGCTGCCCCCCTCCGCGCAGTCCGCTCTTCCTAACACAGCACGTTCCGCATCCCAGACCAGGTCGCATCCCGCCGTTTCGGGCAATCGCAAGCAGCTCGGCAAATAATACCGCAAATATGATTTCATTCATACTCATCCAGAACCGCCAGTAAGCAGTCACCCCGGCGAGCAAAGAGCACTGTTGACAGTCCGGCCACCCAGAGGGAAAACACGACTCGCCAAATGGTATAGCCCATACACCGACGACGACAAGATCAAGCTCAAGGGCGAAGTCCACAGACTTGTAGCACCGCGCGACCAAAAACATCAGTCCAATTTCGTCGAGTTCCGTGGGTCCTCGAAGGTCATCTACCGGCGATATGCGGGATTGTTCTTCTGTGCCTGCGTGGACGCCAATGACAACTCGTTGGCATACTTGGAGGCAATACACTTCTTCGTAGAGGTGCTCGATCAGTTCTTTGGGAACGTGTGCGAGTTGGATTTGGTGTTCAACTTCTACAAGGTGGGTACACTCCCCGAATGCATACTGTCTTCGGGGTGGTGGCGGCACATTCTCTCGGATACGCAAGCACATGCTGACGCACAGCTCGCAGGTCTATGCTATTCTGGATGAAGTCTTTCTGGCAGGCGAGATCTCCGAGACCAGTAAGCAGGTAGTGCTGACCCGACTGGAGCATTTGGATAAGCTTGAGTAATCAGACCTTTGCATCAGCACTCTGCAAAGCACTTCAGAACGGCAAGTGGGTTGACATGGAACTTTAGAGGTGGCGAGAAATTCAGTTCCGCCAACTTCAAAGTGATTCAAGAATATGCGCCAGAGCTGAGCAGGAAGTACAACGACGGAACAGCGAAGTGGTACCCCGAGATCGAATAGGTTTTCTCGAGAGCATCGTTCGATGACACCAGCGAGGATATCAGCCTCATCAATGGCAGGCCTCTGTCTCACATCGCAAAAGAAGCAAATGTCATCGAGAAAGAGTTGCGAGCTTTGCGTGATCACCCAGAGCAGACGGGAACGCGACTTTGGCTGATGAGACGCACTCAGAAAGTTAATTTACGCTTTGTCCAGGAGCATCAGGAGTGGAGCCATATGAGTGGACCGCCAAAGGAGGAGATATTCGGCGGGCCATCTGGCGTGGTGGAAGATGCTCGTGGCCATGACAGTCACTAACCAACAGACTGTGACGATGCCAACAGTTTTGTATCGGAAAGCTCCGTCCTTTCCGCGAGGCGATTTTCTGACTTATGAACGGTACCTCGTGGGAAACGGAGATGAACATGATCACGATTAATAGACGGAAAGACACTCGCTATCGCTACCAGGCAATGGAAGTGGCTCATAAATAATCAACACCCTTTGCTGCAAAAGAAGAGCTACCGTCATCCGCTGTGAATGCACTTCTGGAGAACATCTCGACTCCTCTCGCAATGTACCCCTGGCTCTGTGGAGTGCCATTCCACGTTGGTCACGCTTCTGGTCAAGAACATATCCATGCCCACCCACGACAGCCGCAACCCAACTACTCGTGGTAATTGTAACGTACACACATTTTCTTCAATCAAGATCGAGTGAGATGAYCGCCGACTCCGGAATCATACCCGGCACCAAACTCCGGCCCTCCGCCTCCGTCTCATTGCCCTGGACCTTGACGGCGCGGAACACAACCAACCTGTCGTTGAAGTAATCCAACTCCTGCATCTGATCCGTCATCTCAACACCTTCATACCCCAATATCAGCGCCAAATCATCGGTGTCAGCCATCACAGCCAAGGCATAAGAGTGGAAAACGGTCGCCACGGTGCTGAAGCGATTTCCCTTCATCCACACAAAGTCTTTCTCGGAGATGTTGGTCTTGGTTGGTCTCTTTCCTTCAATCAGGACGGCGATCCAGTAKCGCCGAGTCCAGTCAAAGTTCTCGTGGTTGGGAAGACGGGGGATGAGGAGTTGGGCGCGAGTGTGGAATTTCTCGTGGCGTACTAGGTCGTTGGAGAGGTCGCGTCTGATATCTGGATAACGACGGACTGTAGGCGCCGGACGGGTGGAGACGGTCGTTGGAGGTGGGGTGGTTGGAGGAGTGGATATCTGACGATGGTGGCTGCCGTTTCGGACAGTGGTGGCGTGGGCGCCGGAGACGAAATCTTTGCCTCTTCTGCTGGAGAAGCTGCTGTTGCTGTCCTTGTCGACACTCTTCTCGACTTTAGCTTTGCTCTTGCCGAAGGTACTGTCCCAGATGTCTTCGAAAGGGACAAGCTCAGCCTTCTCGGCGTCTTCATCGTCTTCATCGTCGTCCTCGACGGAGATGGTGATTTGCTTGTTCTGGTTCTCATCAACTCCGGTGCTAGACACAATGTCGTCCTTCGTTTCGGCGCTGTGAGTCTTGCGAGTGTGTTTGGACTCTCCACCTTGCTCCTCTTCATCAGTATCAGACTCGATCGAGATGGCTTCGGGCTTGATCTTCCAGGCTGATGTATTCTTCTCTTCCGACTTCGGTGGGGTTTCGTGATGGATGCTATCTTCCGACCCGTCCTGCTTGGTGTTACCGTGCTGTCCAATCACTTCGCCCTCCCTGAGCATGTCGATCTCTCCGGTTCCTTCGCCCTCTTTCTGCTGCCCAGGAGGAAAAGTCCCAGCTTCAATCTTGACGGCAGCATTCCCCGAACGGTTCTGCTCAGCAGAGAATTCGCCAAACGACATCGTCGGAGATCCCCAACCTGCCTGGACCACAGCCTCTTGTGCGTCAACAAATTCATCGCCAGAATCATCATCATCATCCTTGCCAGTCTCTTCGGCATAGCTGGCGTCTGGAATGTAGCCTTCGAGTTGGGAAGTCTCAGAACGTGAGATCATGGGCACCAGTTTGCGCTCCAAGATGGAGCTGTCGGCGTCATAACCACGATCTGGAGTGAGATCTCCTGGAATGTAGGCGCGCTTGTTTGGTGGCTCTTCAAACTCCTGGCTGGTGGAGCGCTTGATGCCGCCTGACTTGAGTGGCATTGGTCCTGGCATGGCTGATGTTATTGTTGTTGGAGAAGCAAATGGTAGAGCACAGATTCTTGAATGAGTTTGTGGACTTTAAGGGAAGAGAAGCACTGTCAAAGCTGTTGCCTGGTTACGTAAAGCGGTGCGCATGTGAGAGAGGTCAAGTCAAACCGCAATCGCTCGTGCAAATGGCAGGCTTCCAAGTGATGACAGTGTAGCTCCAGAGATCTTACAGGTCACTCGTCCAACGAGCCTGCTTCTGAACGACTCGAGGGTACTCTGGTCTGCTAAAACGAGCCAGTGCAACGCAGAGCTTGACGAACAGGCTGCCGATATCGTCAAATGTCGATGAGTATTAGAAGTGGGCACGTTGTTGAATCTCAAACGTCGCGGAAAACATCGAGAGCTGAGCACACCCCCCAGCCTCGACGCCCCAAATGTCTGTCATAGCTCAGACAGGAATCTCATTGGCAGAGTCTGCTGTAGAGTATGCGAGGATATTCTGGTACACTCAAGTGGATCATTGCATGGAGAGCTTCTTCTCATGATCACGATACAAAATCTTGGTGAGTGGCAACTATCACAGGTCAGCATTTCTCATTCACTTTCAAAAGCTCGAAATAGTCACGAGCCGGGCACAAACCCCGCCTCACCTACACCTCTTCCTTCTCGTCCCTGCTCTCTAATCTTCTCTCCACCAAACATCTTCCGACCAAATAGGAACTTTGACCTCTACACCCACAACCCAGCTCAACATGTCTGACGCAACTCCCGCATCCACCAAGAAGACCGTCAAGGGATGGACTGACGTTGAGAAGCTCGGACTACTCTTCCAGATCATTGAGAAGGCAGGCACCATTCCCTGGGCCGAGCTCGATCTTCCAGAGGGTCGCACTCAGAAGGCATGCTCGGTCATGGTGGATAAGGAGAAGGCAAAGCTTCGCAAGGCCAAGGAAGGCGGAGACGAGGACGGAGCGACCACTGCAACTCCAGCGACTCCAGCCACTGGCGGCAAGGGCAAGGTACCTTCATTCAACCTCTCCAAGGAGATTGGCAAGTTGGCTGATTCGCTGCTGCTTCAGAAACGCGCGACTGCGCTCGATGAGGACGATACGCCAGCTAAGAAGCCGAGAGCCACCCCTCGCAAGTCCAAGAAAGCCATTCAAGCTGAAGAGGCTGCGGCGGCGGCTGCTGAAGCAGACGACGATCAGGAGGATCTCGTGAAGGCTGAGGTCTTTGAGTAGTCGGAAGGCCGTTGCGGACATCCGCTACTGTGCTCCAGCTCCCAATCGAGAGCATCATTGGTGCGCATTGCTTGACAGCTGAGTCTTGCGGCATTGCATGAATGCAGCACTGACATTGCGTGAAAGGAGGACTACCATTGCGGGAGCAGTTCTTGCTCAAGTTACGATAGCTTTGAAATATGCCGATCATCAAGACTCTGCCTAACCACCTTGCTTGTGTGAACCATATTTACGATGTTGGGCTGTGCCAGACCGGTTCTCCGTTGTATAGAGACATCTCACGACTGCTTCCATCTGCCGATGGTCGAGCTGGTACGGAGTACTTTGCTTCAGGCAAATCTCGACGTGTAGTAGAGAGTCCACGCGAGTGGAGAACAAGGGAGGGCCTTGAGACTCGGCTCCCTCCTCTGAGTGACGGTATTGATGGCTTTCAAGTATCAGGCGTCTCCCGGCAAAGGAACCTCTACGGCCGGCGTAGACACGGCGCGAGATCACCGCGTGGAGAGTGAATGCGAAGAATGACTGCTGCTAAGAGTCTCTATCAGGCCCTTGACGAGGCGATGCTCGCAAAAGGGTCTTTGACGTGTCAAGATAAAACACGAGATGAAGGGAGGCTGTCACTGGAGGTTCATCGGAGGTTCATCGGCACATGCAACGCAAGGGTCGCTGTCGTTAGCGAAGTCAGCGGAAGCAGCCGTGCCGCGACCAGGATTATTTCGCGAGCCTTCTCGATGGAGAAGCACCTTGCTGGTCCAACTTAGTGTTCTGGACACAAAGTTGATGTTGTAGACACAGCGAAGACCGGAACCCTTTTCATTTCATATGCTCACTCGTTGCAACATCCGCCGGACGCTTCGATCGCTGTCTTGGGATCGACCAACATCTTGCACTGCCGCGTCTCCATCACTCCGTTCAAGTCGGACAGCCGCAGAGTGGAATCCAATCCGAACATCTACTTCACACTGCCAGCGCGTGTCATTACTGCTCGCTTCATCCACGCAAAGACCCCGATCCGGTGCATCTATAACATCGCTCATTCGCTACTCCACTCACACTTCCTCCGCCATGGATCACGCAAGCAAGCGCAAGGAGCCACCCACCACGACCTCAGACCGACCTGCAAAGCAAGTTCGCAGACCCACCCCGCCAGCGATGGAGAATGGGAGCGTGAATGGGAAGAGCTTGAAGGTGGCCAATGGAGTCACAACATCAGCTGCAGACACACCCAATGGTCTAGAATCGCCAGGTCCAGAAGAAGAAGAAGGAGAGGAGGATGAGGCGCMCGTGTCCCATGCGCTCGCCACCCCAGATACCGCAGAATGGCAAGCCACGATCGAAAAGGTTGTGCGCAATGTGGTCAGCATTCACTTTTGCCAGACTTGCTCCTTCGACACGGATTCCGCCATCTCCAGCGAGGCTACCGGATTCGTAGTGGATGCGGAGAAAGGCTACATCTTGACCAACAGACATGTGGTGGGCGCGGGGCCATTCTGGGGATATTGCATCTTCGACAACCATGAGGAGTGCGATGTGTTTCCCGTCTACCGCGATCCGGTCCACGACTTTGGTATTCTGCGTTTCGATCCCAAAGCTATCAAGTACATGCCCTTGGCCTCTCTGCAGTTGAGACCTGACCTTGCCAAGGTAGGATCGGAGATTAGGGTGGTGGGTAACGATGCGGGAKAGAAGCTCAGTATCTTGTCTGGTGTCATCTCAAGATTGGACAGGAATGCGCCAGAGTATGGCGAGGGATACAGCGATTTCAACACAAACTACATTCAAGCTGCCGCTGCTGCATCAGGAGGATCCTCTGGATCGCCAGTCGTGAACATCGATGGCTTCGCGGTGGCACTCCAAGCCGGAGGAAGAGCGGATGGGGCTGCGACGGATTACTTCCTACCTTTGGACCGTCCATTGCGCGCCCTGAATTGCATAAGAGAAGGAAAGCATGTGGCGCGAGGAACAATACAGACACAATGGATGATCAAACCATTCGACGAATGCCGGAGGCTGGGTTTGACTGCGAACTGGGAGGGCGAGGTTCGCAAGAAGTTCCCCAAAGAGACTGGCATGCTTGCTGCGGAAGTTGTTCTTCCCAAAGGACCGGGCCACGAGAAGCTGGAAGAAGGTGACGTTCTGCTAAAAGTGAACGATGAGCTGCTCACGCAATTCGTGCGCCTGGATGACATTTTGGACAGCAGCGTCGGTGGTACGGTCAAGCTTCTCATACAGCGTAACGGTGAAGACTTGGAAGTGGAGTTGGACGTCGGCGACCTGCATGCGATCACACCAGACCGATTTGTGTCTGTTGCGGGTGCGGCGTTCCACAACCTGTCCTACCAGCAAGCACGCCTGTATGCGATCTCTCTGAAGAATCCAGGAGTCTATTGTTGCGAGGCGTCCGGCTCATTTCGCTTTGATGGATCGGAGAACGGCTGGCTGGTTCTTACTGTGGACCAGAAACCCACACCGAACTTGGACGCATTCATTGAAGTCATGAAGGGCATTCCTGATCGCAGCAGAGTGGTCGTGACATACAAGCACTTGAGAGACATGCACACGTTGAACACCTCTATCATGCTTGTAGACCGCCATTGGCACAAGCACATGCGAATGGCCGTCAGGAACGATGTGACTGGACTGTGGGACTTTTCCGACCTCAGTGATCCCCTGCCACCAGTACCTTCTGCACCGAAGAAGGCCAACTTTATCCAGATGGAAGGCTCGCAATATCAGGAGGCCGTGTCTGTCATACAGAGCTTCGTCAGGGTATCAACCAGCCTTCCCGTAAAGATTGACGGCTTCCCAAAAGCCCGCAAGATTGGTTTCGGTCTGGTGATCGATGCCGAAAAGGGACTTGTGGTGGTCTCCCGAGCGATTGTGCCCTATGACATGTGTGACATCTCCATCACCATTGCGGATTCGATCATTGTAGATGGCAAAATCGTGTTCCTGCACCCACTGCAAAACTACGCCATCATCCAGTATGATCCCAAGCTGGTGCTGGCTCCCGTCAAAAGCGCGAAGCTAGCAACAAAGCCAATCAAGCAGGGCGAACAGACCGTCTTTTTCGGCTTCAACCAAAATCTTCGTCCGGTTGTCGCAAAAACGTCAGTGACGGACATCACCACTGTCGCTATCCCTGCAAGTGCCTCTACTCCACGTTATCGTGCCGTAAATCTGGACGCCATCACTGTCGACACATCACTAAGTAGCCAGTGCAACAGTGGTGTTCTCGTTGCTGAGGATGGTACTGTGCAGGCGCTGTGGCTCACGTATCTGGGAGAGCGCAATGGTCACAGCAACAAAGATGTTGAGTACCATCTTGGCTTTGCAACTCCGGCGCTGCTCCCGGTGATTGAGGAAATCAAGAGCGGACGCAAGCCCAATCTCCGCATCTTGAACCTCGAGACCCAGACCATGCAAATGTCTCAAGCCCGCATCATGGGTGTGACCGAAGACTGGATCTCGCGCGTCGAGCGTGAAGACCCGGAACGTCACCAGCTTTTCATGGTCCGCAAAGTCGATGCTTCCAGTGAGGGAGAAGTCGCAGGCGAAGACGGGACGGTGAAGGCTACCAGCACAGCATTCCAGGAAGGTGATATTGTGCTCACTTTGAATGAGAAACTTATCACCCGCGTCTCCGACATGGATGTCATGTACACAAATCCCAGCCTCCGCGCCGTCGTGGTGCGGAAACAGCAGCAGATCGAGCTCAACGTTCCGACGGTTGCCACAGAAGAACTGGAAACCGATCATATCCTCAGCTTCTGCGGTGCTATTCTACATCGTCCTCATCATGCTGTCCGCCAGCAAATCAGCAAAGTCCATAGTGATATCTACGTGTCGGCTAGATTCCGCGGTAGTCCAGCTTATGCCTATKGGCTCGCACCTACGAACTTCATCATGGCGGTCAATGGCCGACCGGTCAAGACCTTGCAGGATATGCTGAGGGAAGTGGAGAGTATTCCTAACAACACCTACTTCCGACTCAAGGTCATGACGTTTGACAACGTGCCGTGGGTCGCGACCATGAAAAAGAACGAGCACTATTTCCCTACGGTGGAGTTCATCAAGGATGCCGGGGAGAGAGAGGGCTGGCGGAAAGTGTTGTATGAAGGAGGAAAGAAGAAGGAGGGAGAGGCCGACCTGGGCGCAGAGACGGTGGCGGATGAAGGTGGCGCTATGGAAGACGTTGACATTGAGCCATGAGCGCATTGCACAGGCAAGGAAGATGTGTACAAAAGGAGAGAGGTTGAGAATCTGATAGGTTTCAGCTCGCGAGAACTGTAAGACTGCAGGGATAGACTGGAGATAGAGGGCATGGCAGAACCTGGCCAGCCAACCAGCGAGGCCATCAAGCAAACCCCTTTTCTCATCTCCACTGTGCATCTCTAATCATATTGGACCGCCAGAGCAGTATCCCGGACGTCAAACTTTTTGATAACTCCAGCAGGACCTGCTCAGAGTGTGGTGGTCGTGGTCACTCCATCTGCAAATGTGTGGGTAACTAAACTCGAGGAAATCGGAAAGCTGAAAGTGGAAGTCCCAGTGACGCGCACACTTGTCAAGGTCGAGAGCGTTGAGCCACCTCTGTCGGTGGAAGCGCTGATACTTGTGCTGCTGGGAGCTGAAACACAAGACCCACCGTCACAGATTTCTGGGGGCATGCTGAAGTGTCCCGGAACCATGGGATTGAACGCCGTTGGAGTCAACCTCGGGATGGAGACCATGGATGGAGTAATGTTCGCCTTTGGAACGGAGGACGGTGTCAGCGTCGGTGTGTTGAGAGGTATCGATGATACTTGGACGGCGCTTTGAGTTCGTGAAATGGGGAGACCTCCAGGTGTCGTCTGAGGGTCGGAGGCGGCGAATCTGGTAGTGCTGACACCGACAGGTACGGTCTGGACCGTCAAGACAGTCGTGGTAGTCGTAATGGTCATGGTCAGAGGCGTGCTTATGGTTGTTGTAAATGTAGTGGTCAGAACCGAGGGAATTGCAGAAGAGGTAGCCGAAGATGAAGGAGCCGAAGATGAAGGAGCCGAAGATGAAGGAGCCGAAGATGAAGGAGCCGAAGATGAAGGAGCCGAAGATGGAACAACGGAGGATGGAGGATCTGAATCCTCTGTAGGCCACACCTTGAAGCACTTCCACGACTCCGCCATGTTTGCAAACCCAATATCATCGAGATTGCCGTAGCCCGGGTGAAAGATAGGTTCGGACCTTTCGCCCGTACAGTACTGGTCACTGTACAAGAAGCAGACCTGATCCAAGCTGGGTCCGGCCGACATGACCTTTCCGCTCAGACCATCAGGCAACTTGTCGGCTGAATCATTGTCAGTCWAGCATAGCAAACGTTGACTCAAAGTACATACCGCAGACACCAGCTGTGTTGCAAAGGTTGATACCATAGCCGGTCCACTGGTAGTTGCTAGTGATATAGATACAAGTCTGGTTACCCTGTGGCTGCCACTCCGTATTTGGATGATCCGTTGGCGCAGGAATTGGAGCGCCTTCAGGCCAGGACGCGGTAGAGGTCGTCGGCTGCCACTCGTCTCGGCGAGCTGGAGGCGCAGCAAGTACAGAGATGGCGCAGAAGGCGATGATGGTGGCGATGGAAGTCTGCATGGTGGCGGAGATGTATGAGACGGAACGAGTGTGATGGACAGGACGCAAAGGCAAAGATAAWGGTCTCAGAATGGCGAGCGCGGTGTGGGTTGTTGTCGCTCAAAGTACAAAGAAAATGAGGTTTCAAGATTTGTTGATCGGTGACACGATTGGGAGTCGCCCAGCGGGAAGTCGCTGTGCTCAATGGGGGAAAAAAGAAAAAAGTCGAAGCAAGTGCTACTTGTTGAGGAAGAAGACCTGCGAGATAAAGTAGACATGCGTTTGTCGCTGACGCTTGATCAGAACGTTATTTGCGCTGGATATCGTGCCCGTCGCCTTTTTTCCGATGCTTTTGTCATTAAAATCGCCGCACAAGGACCCAAGTGCTACTCAAGCATTTGTGATTCGTTGCGAGAATTACAGCGCCGCGCTGGATATATGTGGCAGTGGTAAGTTGAGCGCAAAGTGCACAGCCGCCAGTGCGAACAGTCACTTGCTGCTGCCAAACWTGGAAGCCCACAGTTTACTAGGTACCTTAGTAATTCTCCAACACATGTGTTTAAGATCGGCGATTGTCTTTACATTCGCACTTGTCGCTGGGCGGTCTAAAGACTTTCAGCAAATAGTCGTCCAAGCTGTTCACATGCAAGGCTTGGCAACGTCTCGCGACACATTGTTGTCGCTTCTCCATTCATTGTGGTAAAGCACGACCTAAGCTCTATCCTAATTTCGCATATGGTATTGCGATCTTATTCTTTTGGTTCAGCCATTTCGCGTTTGACACCGGTCGTGACGATACTTCAGAACGTGCAGTCGCCTTGCAGTTTTTAGTCTGTGCCAGGATTCCCTCGAAAAATCTCCCCAATCGTCCGCGGCACTCGGGGGCTCACGGTTTCTTTCATGTAGTCCTCGTTGGAATGAAAGATTTCCCATGCGCACGGGCTCGCGATGATCTCGTCGAGCCGCCACGAGGTTTCCATCGCGACCACGGCACGAAGAGTTTTATTAGGAGGTCTTTCCTCATCAAACACCTCAGCTCCAGTCTCCACCACACATTTGATGTCCAAGATGTACTCAAAGTGGAACAGGAAAGAAGCACAGATAGTGGTGTTGATTCCCTTGATGTCATACTAGATTCATCATTCATGAGCACATTCTCACGTCGGATTGTATATTCTGAACGCACCTTGTTCACTGCGAGCTCGAGGTCCAAGATTTTGCGCAAGATCCTCTTCATCCTCTCATGGGTAGGGACATCTTTAGATTTCGGCATTTTACTGACCGCCCTACCGACACGCCGTGTAGGCATGACAGCAGCAGAACCGCCGGGCGTGACTGCATGCTCTAGATCCCATTGACGGTAGGAGAGCCATTCGATGGGGAGCTCATAGAGGTGTCGCAGTATCGCATCGACTACACTCGCACTGTCTTCGAGGTGAATGATGCCAGTATGGGACTCCTTGAACTCGTTTGTGCACGCAGCGTGAAAAAATGGACAGGCTGGACACACGATGCTCTTGTGGACTTTAAAGTCCTTGGTCGCCGTTTTGATCGTAAGGTCAGCCCACTCTTCCGTCTCATACATGCTGGGAAGAGTCAGTAGGGTCATTGAGCGTGTGCCATAATCTGTCAGGAGATGAGTCCATACCGCCGGAGAGTGCCGTCTTTTGTCGACGAATTTGTCGCCATGATGCGTAGATGAAATGTTGAGATGAAATGTTGTTGTGAAGGGTGAATACAAATGAGCGTGCTCTGCCAAGCTAATGTGCAGAAATATGGGGACCTGATGATAAATCGGCTAGTGCCCACTGGCGCCGAAGAATGTGAATGAAGAGTCAATCCTTCGGCACTCCCAATCTCTCTTTCCTCGTCAAACAACGGGAACCTTCTAACACTCCAATATCATCGCCGGCTGATTAACCCAACACTGCTCGCTCGCGAAAATGTCTTCGGTCTTTCTGAGCTACTGGACAACATCCTCAAGGAGCTGCCGAGCAACCTACTTCTCGCTCAGCGTGTGTCAAAGACATGGCACGTGGTCATCGCATTGAACCCTCTCCAGTGCAATGTTTTCTTTGAAGACGTACTCGGCGGTCCTCCCAGGCTTCTATATCCTCCTCAGAACCTTGAAAGGCCGCCCGGTCGCTCATTGATCGGTTCGGCTTCTTTGGCTTCGGCTTGCCCAAGATTTGGAGAACATTATGTTCCACAAGGTGACTCACAAACTCAACAACAGGTTCAGAGTGGATTAGGGAGACCTCGTTACTTTGCCTGAGATGTGGTAACGCCTAGAAGCTTCGTGTTGCCGCGTATCCGTCACTTAATCCGCTTCGATCGAGAGCCGCGGTTAGTTGGTTGCAGTCAAAGCAAGAAAGGCGTTCTGTCAGGGTTGAGGACACTGCGTTTCCGTGTCCTCGTCGGGTTGGAGCTATGATTGTGCAGCTATGCAAAGATGTTCGTTTTATCAGAGTAGACCCGAAGCCAAGCTCGACGTTGGCATTCACGTGGAGATCTTTGGCAGAAAGCTATTCGAGAGACCTTGCGAGGAAGGTTGAAGTAAGATCATAGTCATTACCATAGTACAATTGAGAAGGAGATTAGCACACGATAATTTTCTACAAGCGACTACAACTGAGCCTTATTCTTACGCCAGATGGCAGTCGAAGGTGAAAGAAAGTAGTATTGAGAATGTACATGATGCGATCTAAAGCGAACCGACATGTACCGACCCGTCAGCACCCGTTGCTTCGTGGGGAGCGATTGCATCAAAATCGCACCTGCTAAAGTTTAGACCGATACCATGGAAAAGCAAAGAGGTCAAAAAAAAAAACGCTACTTCCAATCCGTTCCCAGCCGGACGTTTTTCCCTCCAAGCAAATTCTGATTCAAATTTCCTTCCCCCTTAACTCCAGCGCTGGAACAAATCTGGTATTCTGTGAAGTTCGCCTCAAGCAAGATCCGCGACCTTTTTTCATCCGGAAGATTCCCACGCCTTGTTCATCGCGAGATCCCGTTCAATCAAAAATTCCCCTAGGGTTCCCCATCAGGCTGGCACCGGCATTTATCTAGCTCGAGGCCGCATTGATAGCAGAATTCACCACCACAGCGGCATCTGCAGAGATGGATTGTCAGCGGCGCTATCCCTTCAAAGTTTTTTGTTTGCATCCCAGCACATCGAGAAAGAAGACTCAAAAGAAGGGGAAAAAATACTCACGTCATATGCCTACACCCATCCTCCCTCTCCACAAACCGCTTGCACTCCGGACATCGCATCCACTTCTCCCYCTTRGCCAATTCCTCAAACGGTTTATCTGCAGCACAAGGACCAAAATGCTCCGGCTCTCTACACTTGACACAAGTTTTCCTGTTGCAACTCTGGCAATGCGCCAAATGGTTGTGGATACTGTGTGGGTGAATGAAAGTACTGCAGGTGGGTTCATGGCAGTAGATTTTATTCTTGGTGGTCATTTCGGGGAGTTTGCGCTGGTAGTCGCGGGCGAGGGCGGGTGAGAGGTAGGGTTTGGCGCGGGAGAAGGGGATGGGGTCGCAGCACTGAGGAGGGAAGGATTCCTCGTCGGTCATGGCGAGGCGGAACATTATCTCCAGGCAGGGTTCGCAGTAAGCGCAGTGGCATTCGAGAAATAGGAGGTCGCTCGACGGGTGGATTTCGCGGCAGGCCATGCAGCGTTCCGTTTCTTCTTCGGAGTCTTCTTCAGAGTCGTCATCAGAGTCTTCTTCAGAGTCGTCATCAGAGTCGTCATCAGAGTCTTCTTCAGAGTCGTCATCAGAGTCTTCCTCAGAGTGTTTAGCAGAGTCCTTAAGGTCCACTTTTTCTTTTCCTTCTTCAGAGTCTTCTCCATCAGTTTCTTCCCAGTCATCCTCATCTTCCTCACGTTTATCCTCCATCATAAACGACGAAAGCGACGAAAGAAAGGGCAAAATTTTCCAAAAGAATGTAGCAAGTTCACAGAATTCGCGGCTCGGATGCGGAGGAGATCGCTGGGGGTATTCTCTCGCAAAAGTGTTTTGGGCAGAGTAGTAGTTGAACCGAAGATGGCGTGCGTGATTGGTGATCTCCGACTCGTGTATATGTGTGTGGTGTCCAAGAAGACTCCAGCGAAACCGTTCCAAGCCGACTGTCGAGTGCCGTTGTATGTGTATCGTTTGTGATGTCGAAGTGAAGGATGCGCTCTCACCAAATAGCCCACGTCTTGCGGACTTGTCGCCAATTCGATCCTCAGCCGCGCGTCACCTCGATGGCGTGTAAGTGAAGTTCAAGTTAATCGTCCAGGACGTCAATGTTTGGGGCCTGCTCGCAATAAATGTTCTTGTCGTTGATGTGATGTCGATCGTAGAAGGAAAGAAGCTCATAAAGTTAACTTGCGAGGGTAAGCTCGCTAGCTCCAACGGAATTCAGCGGCAAGTGAATAAACCAACCTTCAAAGCACTCCCGCACCTTGACTACAGGGGCCGGCCACCTTCACATTTTGATTCTGTGCATCTATATATTTTAATCACCCTGCAAACTTCATCAGGGGTCGTGCTCGGCTTTCTCTCCACGGTATTTGGTCTCATCTACACCCAAATGCGCGGAAGATCCTCTTCTCCCAACCTACAGTCACCTACAGTACCTGCCTCCTTCTTAGGCGCTCCTTCGAAACTAGAGTGTGACGTGTGTGACTTCCGAGGTGTGACTTCAGAACTAGTAAGTAAGGTACGGTCTCTTAGTCTTCTGCGCTAACGCGAGGTATTCATCCGAGCAAATTGGCGGGAGGAGAAGGAGACAGCTACAGTACATCCATCTACAAGAACTTCTTCRGCATGCCATTTCGCCTCCTCTTATACACAACATACGCTCCCGCGAACAAGACTTGCGTGGCAAGAATGACAAAGATGAACCATCCCAGTCTTGGGTGATGCGTTGAGAACACTGTATTTCGACATGATTAGCAATCTCACCGCTTGCACGAACAAAGATTTCCACTCACAATGCGCCAACCTCTCTGGCAGTTGATCATTCAACCCTCCATGAATCTGACCCACAGCTCTCGTCAGGTCATCCAAAGTTCGCTTATAATCCTTGCCTTCCACGTCCCTCCTCACCGMATTGACAGACTCCTCAACTCTGCTCAGTCGATTGACTAGATCATTGATCTGTCCCACGACCGCAGGCGGTAGTCCCGTCTCCCTGGAACCTTGCATGTTGTTCACGCCCGAAATGACCTCCCCATGGCGAGCAATCACTTCGGCATGCTTCTTGTCGACATTCTCTCCCAGACTCTTGAATTCCATGAAGAGGTTGCCCATCTGATGGGAAAGACCTTGAAGGCGATTGTGCAAGTCGGCGAATTGCTCTTCTTGGCTTTTGAAATCCGAGGCGGTGCGGTCGGGAATCGCTTCGGGGATACCAGCGAATGCGTCGTAGTGACGTCCCTGCTGTTGCTGGTTGTTGTTGTTGTTGTTCCCGAGATACTGGTGAGAAGAATCCTCCACATGTTCGTGATTCCAGTGCTCATGGCCACCAGAGACGACCATCTTGTAAAGTTCAAAGCTATCGGGGTTCTGCTCGCCTGTGCTGGCAGAGATTCCAAAGTGGTAACCCTCGGGCAGTCTCACACTTTCCGTGTGAAAGCAGTTCTTGCCATCAATCTGCACGACCATACCACCTCCTTCTTGGCTCATCAGCTTCAGCGTGGAGGGGACTCCCAAGTTGCGGTATTTGTAGTCACACTGTCCGAATGCCAGACTTTCCGGATTGGATTGTGCGCGAAAGTTCTTCGTCCCATCATTGAGGAAGCCACGAATCTTTCCTCCTGTTCCACCATACTGATCCACCACCAACGCAAGTCCGTCAAAGGTTTCGACATTGTAGATGCTGTCGACGCCCACCTTGCGGTCTTTGGTATACCATAGCTGAAGATTCCCCGACCCAATCTCTTGCCCCGAAGCGCGGAATTCCAGCGTCGCAGTGAAGTCGGAGGTGGTCGTGACGTGTTCCGACCAGAGAGCTCCCTTGGTATTTCCTGGGTAGGGAGGAGTGAGGATCAAGCGATCGGAGAGATGTCGGATTTCGTGGTTGACATTGGAGACTTGATAGCCCGGGACGGAATGGCCTTGATCGGCAAAGTTTTCGTGTCGATGGCCAAAGCTGAGCTCGTCGACTGTGTGGGATGAAGGAGGGGCTTGTGCGGAGACGAGGGCCGTGAGGAGGAATGCGGGTAGCGATCGGAGGAGGAGTTGAGGTGCCATGTCGAGGCGGAGGGCGGATGTCGGGTGCGGGATGGCGATGTAAGGGGTGTGTGGTAGTGTCAATATCTATTGTTGGACTTGTCAAGTGAATGATTGGTAGATGAATGTGTTGTAATCCGTACAATACAATACAATCAAATCGGTGATCAATCAGGTGGGATTATGATTCCTGTTGTAGGACCAGCTCCTCAAAGCGGTGGTAGCAATCCAGCCCACAACAATGAGGGAAACAATGGTTCGAGCCTCACGGAGGACTTCAGGCGAGGTGTGGAAGAAGTGATTGTGTGCAATAGCGCCACCGTGGGTTGCAGCGAGGGAAAATGCTTCCATGGTGTGGAAGCGGAAGCGAAACACTGATATATGTACACGCGACTCGACCAACGCAGCTCGAAAGGTGTCCTTGGAAAGTAATCCCGGATCGTCGGGGCAGCTATCCGTAGCTACCAGGTACCTTAACTATGGTCATATATTCCACCTACTATATATATACATGGCATTGCGGCACACTCCAACGTTATGCTGGTCTTCTGAAGAAGCCGAATGAAAGCGTGCGGAATGTTTGCTAGCTAACCCTGGCGAGTGAACAAGGAATATGAGCGTCGTGGCTAGTGAGCGACACTGCCGAAGAGGTGGATGGAAAGCCATATACCATGCTTCTCTGATCGCGGTACCGCGGACAGGGTACGCGTTCTTGATATAAACAATACACAGGATGGAAAAACCGGAGGGGTTCTACAAGATGGCTTCTTCACAATATTGATTCAGCCGTGGATCGTGTTGTTGTGTGTGTCAAAGGTAGGTAGCTAGGTAACAAGGTAAGGATTGATCTCCGACTCCGCGTTTTGCTCAGTGAGGCTAGCGCAAGTGGAGCTAGAAGCAACGATCATCGACCTCGACTTGCCTGAGTACGGTACAGTGGTCTACGAAGCTGCTCGACGGCGACTTGAACAATCCATCCCTCCCCTCCACCCTCACCCTCACCCCAATCCCACCCGCCTTCAACATCCGAAAATGGCCAACGATCCCAAAGCCATGTGGGAGTGCGTAATATCCTCATCCTCATCCTCATCATCGACCATTTCTCTAACATGACCTGGTTCCATAGAAACCTCCAAAAGAACCTCCAGCGCGCCCAGCAAGCGGGAGGAAAGCGATTCGGCGGCGCTGGTCCCGGCGGTGGAGCTCCCGGTCCTCGCGGCGCACTCACGGGCATCGGCGGCCTGCTCCTCCTCGGCGGCACCGTCTGGGCCTTCAACAACGCCCTCTTCAACGTCGAGGGTGGACACCGCGCCATCAAATACACGCGCGTGGGCGGAGTCAAGGGCGAAATCTACGCCGAAGGCACACACATCAAGATTCCCTGGTTCGAGACGCCCGTCGACTACGATGTCCGCGCCAAACCGCGCAATGTCGCCTCGTTGACCGGCACCAAGGACTTGCAAATGGTCAACATCACCTGCCGTGTGCTGTCGCGGCCGCGCATCGATGCCCTGCCGCAAATCTACCGCACTTTGGGCACCGATTACGACGAGCGCGTCTTGCCGAGCATTGTCAACGAGGTGTTGAAGAGTGTCGTCGCCCAGTTCAACGCCAGTCAGCTCATCACCCAGCGTGAAAATGTGTCGAGGCTGGTGCGGGACAATTTGGTCAAGAGAGCCGCGAGATTTAACATTATGCTCGACGATGTTTCCCTGACCGTCAGTCTTCCATCCATCCATCTCATGAACTAAGAAAACGCTGACGTCCATCACCGCTGTAGCACCTCGCCTTCTCCCCCGAATTCACCGCCGCCGTCGAGGCCAAACAGGTCGCCCAGCAAGAAGCACAGCGTGCCGCCTTCGTCGTCGACAAGGCTCGGCAAGAGAAGCAAGCCATGGTTGTCCGCGCACAGGGTGAGGCCCGTTCCGCCGAGCTCATCGGAGACGCCATCAAGAAGTCGAGAAGTTATGTCGATCTGCGAGAATTTGAGAACGCAAGAAACATTGCCACCATTCTGGAGAAGAGCAGCAACAAGGTCTACCTCGACACTGAGGGTCTCGGACTGAACGTCACACAGACGCATCGGGAGAAGGAGGAGGGCCGAAATCGAAAGTAGTACGACGATGGAGAGGGTCGTGGCAAGGACAAGGGAAAGGAAAGGAGAAAAGAAAATGAAGGTGGAAACGAAAATGGCAAGGAAGATGAATGGGTGGAGCGCGTGAGGTATGATCTCTGAGWGTGGCGAGGATGGAAAGCAGTCGGGCATCATTTCAAAGGCTCCGAGACCACCAAGACGGTGCGAACAACATCCTCCTCGAATGTATGTATAATTCAAGCGCACTCTACTTTGTACAGCTATAACATTCAAGCGTCATGACTTGTGGGAGCGGCTAAACAATCAAACACGAATTGCAGCACTTCCTTTTGTAGGAGGATGAAGGTACCTTGGTCCGAAATCCCAATCAAGAGCGAGTATCCGCCCTCCGTCTGGTTCATGACATTCTAGCAGAAACGTGTCGAAAGATCTATCTCTATCTGTATACATCCACCTTCTGTTCAAGCCCATCCCACACGACAATGCCTCTCATCGAACGTCTCGCGCGTCTCCTTCCCCGCAAGGCCAATGGCTATCAACGTCTCCCATCCAAGACCGACCTTCTCGACAGGGAACCCAGCCCTCCCGGCGGACCAAGCACTCGAACATCCCACCTCAAATCGACCCTCCAATCCATCCTCCACCTTCCCAGCACCGTGATGAAGAAGAAGAAGAACAAGAAGAACAGACCTAAAGCCTGGTCCCCACAACCACAATCTCCCCTCCTCTCCCTCCCCGGCGAAATCCGCAATCGCATCTTCACCTACGCTCTTCATTCAGACGTACAACTCCCTCTCAGATCCATCGTTCAACCACCCCTAACCCTCACATGTCGCCAACTCCAATCGGAAACTCTCCCGCTATTCTTCTACGAAAATGTATTCTACATTACCCTCATTCTACAGCATCAGTATCTTTTTCGTCGTCGTCCGGTCGCGGGTTTCCAACCCTGGACTCGGAGCTGGTTGAAGCGTATTGAGCAGGATGGTATTGCGCGACCTGGTGCGACTTCGCTGCGGACGTTGAGTGTTCAAGTATATTGTGAAACTCATGCGCTGGCTAGTGAGTTGTTCTTCCTGCGCATGTATCGAATCCATCCGCGGCAGCAGAGCGAGGGGAAGTCGGGGGGTTTTGTGGTTTGTGAGAGAGTCGAGGGTAAGCATGTTCCCGGGCCGAAAGGCCCACTCGAACGCCCTGTGGAGAGGCTCTGGAGGGAATGTGGGAGACTTTTCCCGGCTTGTGCGGGAAAAGAGAGGCGGGGACGGAATGGCGAGATGGAGATGGAGAATTTGTTGGTGTTTGATGATAAATTTTTGAGGAAGTTTGGGGGGAGGAGCAGGAGACTTATGAGGACATGGCGGAGGTTGGATTATAAAACGACGTGTTGGGATCCGAGGTGTGGGTGGTGTAAGTGTGTTTTGACAGAGGAGAAGCATGATGATGGATGAGAATGGAAATGAACAAGTCAATGCCATCTGCTTGAGTCGCATCCAATCTGAGATGTGACATCAAAAGGATTGTGTTCATAATGTCATGTCTTCATTACTTTGATGAGAACGATGTCTCTCTGTTGCGCCCAACTGCCACCAAGTCTTCAAGCAGCAAGTCCACGAATGACGGTGCATCCATCTCGATCATCGGGACGCAACAGAAAACAATGCACACACCCCGATGAATTCTGCCTTGCCACCAAAGAAACCATCCATCCCCAACCCACTCAATCCATCCATCCATTCCTCACTTCCAATCACTCCTTACCACCACCAACCACCCCTCTCGCGCCCTTCAATCCCACACACCCAATACAATTGACGCAACCCTCACAATCCACACATCCATTACACCACTCACAGCCCTCGCAACCCCGACACTCCTCACAGAATCTACACGCCACACAATCAACACAAGCAGTACAATACCAGCAATCCCCGCAACCCTCACAGCTCGAGCATCCCGAAGATTCGCGATGGGATCTCCAGTGACCGCGACGCTTGTCGTCGAGTTGTGGTTGGTGCGTGGTGGTGGTGGTGGTTTTGGAATTGCGAATATGATTGTAGAATGGAAAGCTGAGGTTCGGGAGTGAATTATTTCCTGTTGGGCGGGTCCTGAGGAAGAGGGTCGCTAGGAGCTGATCGAGGAATTGCAAGGCGATGCAGATGAGAGAGACGATGTTGATGGTCCATTGTAAGAGAAGCGCCGTCATGGCTAGACCTTGCTTGTTGAGCGCCGCATGCACGCGCGCGAGATCTTGTTGTATGGTCTTGTTTGCTTGATTGGTGGTCGTGCTCGGGAGTCTGGAATCCATAGAGTGCAGGGTAGGGTCGGATGTTGGAGGAGAGTCCGGGAGCGGTGCTGTGAACCATTTCTCTTGACCTGGAGCCCAGAGCTTGGGTGGACGGCGAGATGGACTCCACATCTGATGGTCTTGCATGTCCTCGGAATCTTCATCAGGAAGCAGCGACAGAAGGTCCTCGTCTGAAGAGTACTCGTCCGTGCTGTACTCGTCTGTGCTGTAATCTTCCGACATGGCTTCACTTGAGAGTAACTCGAAATCAAAGCTCTTCTCCAAGATCAACGCTGGGATGTCGTCACTTGTTGAGTTCTCGTCTGAGGGTGACTCGTCTGGTGTGGATGTGTTCGATGAATAGCCGCTTGAGGTAGAGTCTTCGACGGAAATGAATTTGTAGTTGACCGCGCGGATTGTACCGGAGTAGTGTGCGATGCGACACTGGCCCTTGGCGGCCAACAACGGTTCGGGAAGAGTAGTCATCTTAGTGGCTGATTGATGGTACGTATGAATAATGATTCCAGACGCGCGGTATCTTAGAGTCCGGATGAGATCAAAGTATCTTTCGAAGTGGTGACCGAGTGATGTGACGGCGAGACGAGACGTCTGTCACATGCCAATAATCAGCTCGATCAGTATGCGCGCTTGTCGTCTCTGTTCTAGTTTGCACCACGGAGAGGATGCGCTGGATATTATCGGTGTGGAGAAAACTTACGATGGAAAACTTGTGATTGTGAGAAAAAAAGTAATTCTGGCTCGGGACCTCTAGCTCGAGAAATTGGCGCTGCGGGCCGCTTTTAGGGGGGCTGGACCAGTGAATGAATGAACTTTTTCGTCCGAGCTGGAGTGTGGTAGGTAGCTTCAGTCGGAACTCTTACGTATACATCACACTGGCATTTTTTTCGGCATGCTCTGCGCTCTTTGTGAAGAAATACGACTACTTCTCTGAGAAGAGGTAAGCATAAGGCAAGGTCGCAAATTAACTTTGGGATCGAATCGTATTACCTCAGAGATACCTGTTAATCTGCAGGTGAGAGGCGGATTGATCAGACGTGAGTTCTGATGACCTGCTACCTATCCGGTACTCAGTCACAAATTTACAAACTTTACCGGGACAGCACGGGATAAGGCCAGGGACTTTCGTACAAAAGCGACTGCTCTTTCCACAAAATTTATTGGTGCCCGTCGCTCAGTGGATTGTTCTCACGCTTGGAAAGAAGTGGCACAGAACTGATTGATACGTTTTACAGGCCCACTCGACAGATTCAATTGTACGAGAAGTATCTAAAGCACCACCCCACACATGTTGGACGCTTCCTGACAGTTGCATCACAGAACCCTCGGTCATCGACTCACCCTCCTCCGGCAATTATGACCTGAAGTAGCAAAGCCCAGGAATGTGGTTTTGTGCCAAGGTCGTCTGCTGTCGGGGTGCATGGGTCTGCGGTGATCGAGTGGGTATGAAGGAAGGCCGATGATGAGAGGCATGCCGGTCGAGAGTCGAGACTTCGCTCGCGAAGGCTTATACGCGTCGGATGCCGATACTGAGGCTCGAAGGGTTCCTGTTTGTCATATTCACCCGTGTCAGCCCACTCCGAAGAGAAAGACCGAGTCAGATGGTGCCCGTCGCTCAGCGATCCTTCGTACGAATCATCATAGCCTGCAAGCTCAGATAGTACGGTCCACGTCATTGCTAAGGAGGTTTTACTGACCTTGGTCGACTCGTCAATGATGAAGATCGAGAGTAGTCTCGTTGTGGACGCCAGGAAGCTGGTGTCTGCAGTGAGCTGCAAAAACCCCTGAGACGGGTCGACCTTGGTGTAATGTCTCTGCTTTGGCGGACAGCTTTGTTGGGCGAGAGGGCTGGCGAGAGTCGGGGAAAGACGTTGGACGCAGCAAGTGGTGAGATTGGGCCGATGGAGAGAAACTAGAAAGCAATCCAGAGATGACTGGTAGCTGGGAGGGAGAGAAGTTGAAGGAGTTAGGTGGTGGATTGGGAAGAGAAGTTGAGCGAAGAACAACAGACTGGCATAGAAAGGGCGCAGCGTATGTAGAATAGGCAAGTATCTCAGTGGGTTGGGAAGGAATACTGCTATTTACGGCTGTTGCAATGCAAGTCTGGCCGAGAAAGACTGCAGGTACAGTTGGCGAAGCGTACTCCCGTCAGGAGCTTGGGAGCAGCTGAAATTGTGGGGCAAGTACTTCGAAAGGCGAGGAGAAGGAGCACCTGTATGAATTGGATAGAAGTTTGAAGAGGACAGAAGATTACAAAGAAGAGTATCACGACGCTCCAAGACGATCTTGTGGTTTAATCGCAGGAAATCTCTTAGCTGATGGGTTTTAGGAGATACCATCGATAGGAGATAACAATGGATACTCTAAGCAGAGAACGTATACGCTATAGGGGTGAGATGATCGAGTGTCAATACCGCATCATGCAGATCAGTCACTATACACTCCGCTGAATTGAAACGAAAGTCTATCAATGCCCTCACAGCCTTCTCAAGCGTGCTCTGGGTGTAGCTATTGTCTTGGGGGTCGTTAGTAGGTCCGCTGGTCCAGTGAAATGGAGAGATGCGAATCATAAGAGAGGGCAGTATCAACAAGTTCACTAACTCTCTCTACAATTTCTCAGAATGAGATTACTGTAAGAGTAACTTGGAATCCAGGGCTCTCTGCCRAGCCACATTGGAGCTCTTTATCCCGGAGCTTAGACCATTCACAACAGAGTGAGACTGTAGGTGATGCTCAGACGTAACATGCGCAGCCGATGAAACGACAAGCCCATCAAGCATTGTTGCAACTTTAGCACTCTTTCCTGCTCTGGGAATCCTCTCAAACAATCAGACACTTGATAGAGTCTCAGCATATTGAATAGGCAAAGAACAAACGCGACTGAATTGAAACTGAACTGGCAGAAGCGTTTCCTGTGCAGTCATCGGCACGCGCAGTGACGTGCTAGTCTGAGCACACATTGCTGACTTGCATGAATGAAAGCAGAATTGCACAACAACACAAACCTCCAAAACACCACCAGCGCCTTCGCTGCAAGCATCTTCAATAGCCCAAACACCGCTCATCCGTATCCCCAAATCATATCAACTTTAACGTTCTCTGCCATGTGCCCTTGTGAATGTGGTGCATGTACCGGCTCTTGTGTTCCGGCTTCTGCAATCTCCTGTACGCTTCCTGGATGTGCTTGGCACCAACAGGCGTCCTCGCCTCTTCCGGTGGGTCAAATAGACCGGGTTCCCGCCTCCGCTTGCGACCGCGCTTCTCTTCGTCACCTCCGCTCTCCCGCTTGAGTGCATCCTCCGCCGCCTTGACTTTGAGCGCCTCTTCCGTGAGCAGCGTCACAATTTCGTAGGTCAAGAATCCCAAAATGTCGACAATGTCATCATTGGGCTTCGAGTCCGTCACAATCCCAAAGCCAGCCCACTCTCTGAAACGTTTGCCTTTACGGAATGTGAAGGATGCTTGGCGACATTCGGAAAAGTGGAGGTATTCTTCAGCGTTCATGCCTTTGGTGCGTTCGTCTGCTTGTTTCAGACGTTGAAGCGTAGCGGCATTCATTTCCTCCTCCTCTTCGTCTTCTTCGTCCTCGCGCTCGGGAACTTGCTCGCTATAGAAGGAGGAGACGTCCCAAGGAAGACCGACTTTGGCCTTCTTATTCTTGCTGTTGCGCGTACCAACGGCCGGTCCAGAGCCAAGAGTGGGGTCATTGCTGGCAAGATCGAACTCATCCACTCCTCCAGCCTCGCCTCCACCACCGCCTCCCTTCTCTTCGCTATCCTTGGCGCTTTTGCGCACGTCTTTCCACGACAGAAATGTGCGAAGACGAGAGACTTTTGCGCGGTCATGGCGGATCAAGAAGATGAGGTCGTCGGTGCTGATCGTTCTCACACCACGCCGAGCCGCGAGTTCTGTCGCGCGCTTGAGCATTTCCATTACTTGCTGTTGGACGATGTTCTCAATCATGCTTGTGGTTTCCATGGACGGATCGCCAGTCTCTCCGGAGACAAACATCATCTGCGCAAACTTCGTCAGTATGTAACCCATCGGTGGAGATGGCGAGCGTGAAGAGCGGGAAGATGGCGTGGGAGAAGATTGCGGGCGCGCCATGTTGATGATGCGGAGGATGTCGAGCAGATATTTTGGATTAGAAGGTTGTGCTAGACGCCGACCGACTTCGCTTCCCGACGCGCGGTGCTCAAGTGAATGAGAACGCCCCACCTCGCCACGGAGATCTCGGAAGAAGTCAAGCAGTGCGAATCGACACCTTTCAGCATTTTTTGGTGGGTAAAGAGGAAGCCGATCAAACGTTGTTCTCCCTTCTCGTCTCTCGCGGCTCTTCCGGATACAACCTTGAGCAAACAAAACCCCCTCTAAGCCTTGAAGTCCATCTTTTAAAGGCACGAGAAAACTCCAATTTTCAGAGCACACCTGATGACGGGATGACGAGAGCTGGGATGTACAAGAAAGACTGCAACTCACCTGCTGGATCTCCGTCCGGTACTTGGATTTCAGGTCCGCCATCTTGATCGTCTCCTTGTGATCGTCTCTCTTCCTATCATGTCCGATCGAGCAGAAGCTGGAGGGTTGAGATGGGACGGATGTTCTGCAATGGATGGATTGTATGTCCACCAGGTTGATTCCGCCAAAGGTGAGGTTGCGAGTCGCGTCCACGGGCGTCGGACTTTTCGGATTTAAGAATCGCGCTATTACGGTGCGCTTTTAGCGACAACTCTGCAACAATCTTTTTTTAGTAGAACTAAGGTACACTACTTACGCTACCTCGGAATATAACCGTTCCGAGAGGTTAGCGGTGATTTTTAGTTATTATACGGGCGCTTCCGATATAGCCTCTTTATCTAGTATATAGATATAGTCCTAATCGATAGATTAATCGTAGAAGTAAAGTTRTCTAAAGCCTATATCTATAACTATATATTAGGCACTCCTTTTATATAGTAGATAGATCGAGAAGTAGATATACGCCCGTATAATGCGTTTACGACTATTAAAGTAATACTATATAGATATCTATTAAAGGAACGAACGAAACTACTAAAAATAACTCCTCTCTAAACTTACGAAGTACCTACTATCTTTATTCTTATCGCAACCTTTTAGATTAACGACGCTTCGACCGATTACGCGTATAATTTGCGGGTAGTTTACTCGTATTCTTAGATAATTATAAAACCTT